TTTTTTTTTTTTTTTTTTTTTTTTTTTTTTTTTTTTTTTTTTTTTTTTTTTTTTTTTTTTTTTTTTTTTTTTTTTTTGTGGTGTAAAACGGTGATCGGGGTAGATCCCTGAGATGAATAAATGACAAGATTGTGGAATGTTGTGCTTGGGTTTAAGAATAAAAATAAAATAAAAGAAAACAATGGATAAAGAAAATAGATAAAAAATTTGTGGATGGGACATATGAAAAACAGCGGTGTGATGTTGGTGTTGGTGTTTTGTTCGAAAAATAAAAAGAAAATAAAATAAATAAAGAAATAAAATAGATAAAAAAAAAAAACAATATGTGTGGATGGGGTAGTTGAGAAAGATTCTAGAGACTCTAGTGGGATGAATGATAGGTCTGGCAACAGGGGGAATCAGACTGATTGATTAAATAAAGTAGGAATGATGGGTTGGTATTATAAAAAAAATATGTATGTATATATAGAAAAGAAAAGAAAAAAAGATTGAAGAGAGTGCGAACATGATGAAAAGTAAAAAGATAACATAAATTAAAAAATGAAAAGGGATAGTGGGGAACCGAGAGGTGTGATGCCTGTCGTGATGATGTTCTCTGTAACAAATAGAATAAATCATTCCAACCAGACCAGCAAGAAACCCCAAAAAATATAAAGAGACAGAGAGAGGAGAAGAGAGACACAGAATTTCAGATCTCAACAGATCAGAGAGCGCAGATTCCCACCGGCACGGCTCGAGCTCATCGGAGACGGGACAGGACCAGCGAGCGTGACCTTGTCGGTTGAAGCGGCTATCGATCCAAACTCAACGACGGATGGCAAAGGAGCAGCGACACTAGAACAATGGTGGTTGATAACATAAATTAAAAATGAAAAGGGATAGTGGAGAACCGAGAGGTGTGATGCCTGTCGTGATGATGTTCTCTGTAACAAATAGAATAAATCATTCCAACCAGAACAGCAAGAAACCCCAAAAAATATAAAGAGACAGAGAGAGGAGAAGAGAGACACAGAATTTCAGATCTCAACAGATCAGAGATCGCAGATTCCCACCGGCACGGCTCGAGCTCATCGGAGACGGGACAGGACCAGCGAGCGTGACCTTGTCGGTTGAAGCAGCTATCGATCCAAACTCAACGACTGATGGCAAAGGAGCAGCGACACTAGAACAATGGTGGTTGCAGTGGTGCCAGGGATGGCGGCGACGCGGCAGAGCTCTGGCGACCACGGCGGCGGAAGACAAGGGGATTAGGTACAGGGGCGTTCGGAAGAGGCCATGGGACCGATTCGCCACCGAGATCAGAGACCCATGGAAGAAAGCCCGAGTCTGTCAACGGACACAAGATACACACCAAGTTCTTCAACTATTCCTAAGCTTTATTCTTGGTGCAGTAATGGGTGGACCACCTGGGGAGCCACAGGTTTTGGGAGGTGGAGGGCACATGGTCTGATATGCCCATGCTAGCAACCCAATCAACAGAACCACAATAATTCTCTTAAGCATCCCTAAAACAAGATTGGGTGGAGGAGATGGGCTGTGTTTGTGTCTAGTATCTTTCCTACTGATTCACTGGAGAGAAAGAAACTCTCCGGCAGTCTGAGCTTGAACCGGAATCCGAAACCAGAGAGCTGCCCTTCCGTTCAGATGGAGCAACAGATTCATCAACTAGGAAGCAGTGGTGGTGAAGGAGAGAGGATTTAGGCAGTGATGGAAAGGTATGGGTAGAAAATTTTAGCAGACTAGGTTGAGATCCGGCGGGCGGCCAAGGCGAGGTTGCCGCCCGCCGGTGAAGTGAGAAATACTAAGGTCTTAACCTTGCTCTGATACCATGATAAAATTGATGTATTATTATTGATGGATGTATTGATGTTGTGTATATTGATATTTTTATCTGTATATTACAAGTCCTATATATATAGGAGAGGATTTGGGAGTAGGTGAGGTAGGTGAGTGGTGGTAGTGGATGGTAGTGGAGGTGGTGGGTGGTAGTGGATGGTAGTGGAGGTGGTGGGTGGTAGTGGAGATGGTAGGTGGAGTTGGTGGTGGGGTAATTTACACAGTTTACAATTTACATTAACATATAGAATTACTGGTCTTGTTTAGTTTGTGTTTCCCAAATATTTTTAGAAAAAATTCTCTACAAATAAGTTTTCAAAAGTAATCAAATTAAACAAATTTTCTCAAAAAAATTTTCCAAAACTTGTTTGGTTTACAAGTTTTTCAAACAAATCTCTCTCTCATACACATCAAATCAATCACTTTTTTCAAAACTCTCTCTCAAAATAATTTTCCAAAACATCTTTTGAAAAAAACCAAACCAAACAATTTTTCGTACTTTTTATCTCTAAAACTTATCTCTCAAATTCAAACCAAACATATTTTTTGAAATATATTTTAAACTAACAATTTTGAAACTCTAAACCAACCCTCTATCATAAGTCACATCACTTTTTTACTGAACTTTTTTAATTGATTAATAAAACTAAATTGAAAATTGCTTTGTCTTCCAACAATAATAGCTTCTATTGTCTTTTTTTGGTCCCGTTTGGTAGAGACGTGAGAAAGTGATTATAATTTATACTTTAACAGTTTATAACTTATAACTGTGAACATAAACTAATTTTTGACTTATAAATTAAGCTTCTCCTCCCCCACTCAAATGCCACCAACACCACTATCATATGCCACTATCTTATTATCTACCACTATCATATTCTATACATGCCACCAACACCACTATCATATGCCACTATCTTATTATCTACCACTATCATATTCTATACATGCCACCAACACCACTATCATATGCCACTATCTTATTATCTACCACTATCATATTCTATACATGCCACCAACACCACTATCATATGCCACTATCTTATTATCTACCACTATCATATTCTATACATGCCACCAACACCACTATCATATGCCACTATCTTATTATCTACCACTATCATATTCTATACATGCCACCAACACCACTATCATATGCCACTATCTTATTATCTACCACTATCATATTCTATACATGCCACCAACACCACTATCATATGCCACTATCTTATTATCTACCACTATCATATTCTATACATGCCACCAACACCACTATCATATGCCACTATCTTATTATCTACCACTATCATATTCTATACATGCCACCAACACCACTATCATATGCCACTATCTTATTATCTACCACTATCATATTCTATACATGCCACCAACACCACTATCATATGCCACTATCTTATTATCTACCACTATCATATTCTATACATGCCACCAACACCACTATCATATGCCACTATCTTATTATCTACCACTATCATATTCTATACATGCCACCAACACCACTATCATATTCTATACATGCCACCAACACCACTATCATATTCTATACATGCCACCAACACCACTATCATATTCTATACATGCCACCAACACCACTATCATATTCTATACATGCCACCAACACCACTATCATATTCTATACATGCCACCAACACCACTATCATATTCTATACATGCCACCAACACCACTATCATATTCTATACATGCCACCAACACCACTATCATATTCTATACATGCCACCAACACCACTATCATATTCTATACATGCCACCAACACCACTATCATATTCTATACATGCCACCAACACCACTATCATATTCTATACATGCCACCAACACCACTATCATATTCTATACATGCCACCAACACCACTATCATATTCTATACATGCCACCAACACCACTATCATATTCTATACATGCCACCAACACCACTATCATATTCTATACATGCCACCAACACCACTATCATATTCTATACATGCCACCAACACCACTATCATATTCTATACATGCCACCAACACCACTATCATATTCTATACATGCCACCAACACCACTATCATATTCTATACATGCCACCAACACCACTATCATATTCTATACATGCCACCAACACCACTATCATATTCTATACATGCCACCAACACCACTATCATATTCTATACATGCCACCAACACCACTATCATATTCTATACATGCCACCAACACCACTATCATATTCTATACATGCCACCAACACCACTATCATATTCTATACATGCCACCAACACCACTATCATATTCTATACATGCCACCAACACCACTATCATATTCTATACATGCCACCAACACCACTATCATATTCTATACATGCCACCAACACCACTATCATATTCTATACATGCCACCAACACCACTATCATATTCTATACATGCCACCAACACCACTATCATATTCTATACATGCCACCAACGCCACTATCATATTCTATACATGCCACTATCTTATTATATACATTAACACAAATTTCCATTGATTGATGTGTAATAAGGAGAAAAGTGATTTTGAATTTTTTTTTTTTAAATTTTCAACCAAACAAATTTTTGAAAGAGAAACATTTGATCCATACAAAATAGACTGTCCGAATCCGCCCGAATTACGTGGCAACTCTAAACCGAAAAAAAGTTCCACGCGTTTGTCTTCCCTCTCATTGCTTCAAACGATCCTCTCTCCTCTCTTTCTCAAATGGCAACGCAAACCCTCTCTCTTTCTTAGGTAGCAATTTCTCTCTCAAACAAATTGGTAGCTTCGTCAAAGCAAAACCTCTCTCCTGAGCCATCCTCTCTCCCAAACAAAACCAGGAAATTTAAAATAAAAAATAAAAAAAAAAAAGCAAAGCAAATAAGTGAGAATCGGCCAACTCCGGCAATATCCAGCGAACCCTACAACACTCCCGAACAACCCCCCACCTGACCCACCACGACTTTCTCCACCCTTCGCTTCCCTCCACCCACCGGCACAAAAAAATAAAATAAAATAAATAATAAAAAATTCTAAGTTGGACGTGGTGAAGAGGAGGAAGAAGATAGGGAAGAAGAAGAAAGAAGACGTGGTGGGCTAGGAAACAAGCGGCAAAAAGCAACCAACTACAGTGACCTCTGGTGACCCTTCTCCAAACACCAGCAAAAAATAAAAAAATAAAATAAAATAAAAAGATAAAAAACCAGATCTGAAATCCATGAAGTGCGTGAATATGAAGATGATGAAGAAAATGATCTCCCACTCTTGGGTCTTTTAGATTGCAAAAAAGAAATGAGTATTTGTGCAAACAAAGCCAATGGGCTGTGCTCTTTGGAGTAAAAAAACAAGAAAGTATCAGAGAGATTGGAATTGGAGTGTTAATTTCATATCCAATCCCTTAATTTTTCAAGAAAATACACCCAAATTCCAAATTCTCTCTTCTTCATTTTTTTCCAATGGATAATTGAAGTGTTTTGGGCTCTTGATAAAGGGGTTGATGAACCTGTAATTTGGCAGTGTACAACTGGAAAAAATGATCTTGGTTGTGTTTTGCATTGGCGAGAAGAGAGAGAGAAAGAGAGGACTGTATGACAGAGAAAAGGGCAGAGAAAGAAGAGTACAAACCCACTTCAAAGAGGAGAGGGCAGAGAGGAGTGGTTGGGTTTTTGGCTTGCACGTGAAACAAACCCACTTTTGGGGCAAGTGGGACTCAGCTTGGCACAACCCCAGCCACCTAATTCAGGCAATTTGGGCGTACTCATATTCAATGGATGTAGCACGATTGCTTTTGAAATTTTTCTCAAAAATTGTCTCTCAAGAGAAAAACCAAACAAGGAAAAGGTATGTCTGTTCTTTTTTTGTTTTTCTTCCTAAATTATAAAAATAAAAAAATAAAATAGAAAAAAAATTACTTTAGTCACTAGACAAGAAAGAAAATTCACCCTATATAAGAAGTAGAAAGCAAAGATATCACCCCACCAACAATGTTCTTAAAAAACATTACTTCTGCCCTTTTAACAAAGAATATCTCAATACATCACATGTAAATGCAACAAACAATGCTATGAACTTCACACAAATGCTTAGTTATTCGTTGGATTTTTTTGTTTTATTTTTTTCTAGTTTTGTTTCAAACTAAGATTCAATTCAATTTTATTTTTTTTCAGTACCATTTGAAACTAAGCTGCATCAGACATGCCTAGTAGCAAAAAGGGCTGTTAAAAGTGTCTTGATTTAAGCATCTACATATAAATGATCAAATACTCCATCTCTACAAAATTGCAATCATATAATGGAACCATAAAATAAATTTATCAACAACGATATGAAACTAAATCCATCAGCAACAAAGCTTTTTTTTTTTTGGTAACAGATAAATCCATCAACAATAAGAAGCTAAACCCTAATCCAACCAATCCCTATTCTTTGTTGCCAACTATTAGGCCCCATTTGTTTTTAGAGGTAGAATGGATGAGATTTATAGCGAGAGGATTGATAGTGAGAGAATTAAGTAAAATTATGTTTGCTTTAATAATAGTTGTTAATATACGTATTGTTAAATTATTTTTATATAAAATAATAAAACAAATAAAAAATTAAACATTAATATTTTTAAAAAAAATCCCAATATAAAAAAAATAAAAAAATTTCTAATCCCCTCACTATTTTTCTAATACCATCTCTACCTCCTCCGTCTCAATCCCCCTTCCAACTTCCATCTATATCCCCTCTTCCATCCTAATCCCCTCCCCAACTCTACAAACAAACACAATACTAAATAACCTCACATGCATCCTAATCCCCTCCCATATATTTAACCCCGAAACAAACGGGGCCTTAAAGCCATTTATATCTTCAATGGAGAACCACTAACATGCACAACGAAAACCTTCAATTTTTTAAAGCCCCAAACCAAAGCCCTAGTTTTTCAATTTAAAATCTAGCTTCTCAATCAAAACCCTAACTTTTCAATCTAAAATTCAAATTCTCAACCTGCTTTCGTTCTTTCAATACAAAGTTTGGAGAACAAACCTGGTTCAATCGAGGGCGTGCGTGAGCTCCGGCAGATGGCTATGGCCGTCTCTCTCTTCGCCTTGTTCCTCTTTCGTCTTCTCTCTCTTCGGCAACGCCGGTGAAGGACGGCGTCAGAGGGCGGAGGACGCCAGTGGTCGTTCCTCTCTCTTCGTTAGTTCTGCCGTCACTCTTTTTTGGTTCTGCAGTTCATCTATTTTTTTTTTTGAACAACTGCTGTTCATCCATTCGCCAACGTTTTATTTATTTATTGGGCAAATTACATATACCTCCCTCGAAGTTTGGCTAAATTACAGATATTCTTGAGATTTCAGAAATTACATCCCGCTCCCTGAGGTTTGTATTTTCATAACAATTTGCCTCCTGAGGTTTATATTTCATAACAAATTATCCCCTAATTTGTTATGCAAATATAACATTCAGGGAAAATTTATAATTTCTCAAACCTCAGAGAAGTATTTGTAATTTAGCCAAACCTCACAGAAAGTATATGTAATTTGCCCTTATTTATTTATGCACATAAATTATTATTTTAACTGATAAATTATAAAAGTATATAAATAAATTTTAAATTGTTAACAATTATTATTTTACTCTCGCAAATTATAAAAATATACTAATAGGTTTCTAAATTTTTAGTTGTGTTTTATTTTGACCATTTTCGTTAACAGTACAATTTGTATGTTTTTATAATTTACGTGCATTTGTACGTTTTTATAATTTAAAGAACAAACTAATATTTCTTAATATTTTAAGAATTTATTTGTATACTTTTATAATTTAAGAAATTTTTGTGTAAATAATATTTTTTTAATCTTTTTCATTATTCAAAACAATGTCGTTTTAAATAACTCTACGAAAACTCCTATGTTTAAATTGAGAGTAAATATTACGTAGCTGTATTATTATCCAATAAGCAATCTTTATTTGTGGTACAGACCACAACAATTTAGTTTAGTGAGAGACAAGATTTGTTCATTAAGTCTTTTGCAGTTTTATTGGTTGGTGACACCAAGAAAGATGGCGTTACCGTCACATTCAATATTATTTTAAGATTTGGACGGTAAAGGATCCGAACGTTGACTCGGACTTTGGCCATGTTTGTTTTGAGATATAGATGGCTATACGGGCATGAAGTATTCGTCATACGTACTCATTATGATCAAACTTGAATGTCATTCTTTCTGTAAAACAACATCAGTGAGCCATCTGGCAGATGTGTGCCAAAAAACCCCTTTGATGCTTAAGTCAATTCTTAAAACCAATATGGAAAAGCTCTCAAGTATTCTGTGAATAAAATTGCATTACCTCCTTAGGGTTTACCTCTAAACTTTTATATATTCCACAAAGTAGACTCCTAATAGGATTCTAATTCCACTTTGTAAAATCCTATTAGGAGTCCATCTCTTAAAGAATAATGCTTATCATTTAACACTTTTATCTCCAAAGTTCAAATAAAATAACGCAACTCTTAGCCTGGTAATTAGGCTAAGAATATCATTCTGATTAATCAAAGATCGAGTAACCATATTGAATGAACTTGCTTCTCTTTAAGACTGCCAAGATCATGTAATGTCGTCCTAACCTTAGATCTAAGATCCAACTCAATTGTTCGGCTTGGTCATGTGGCCAATGCCTTGTCATAATTGGCCAACCGTTGTCCAGTCCTCCAAAGATAGCCAATTGTGTAAGCTGAGTATAAAAATAGCGCATTCAACAAACAAAGCATATCTAGGCCCAAACCCAACCAGGCTCATTAGATTATAGAAGTTCAAATGTCGAGCATCTTGTTTGCCGATCAAATTATATGCCAAATAAGTGACTCTGGCAAGAGCGGCAAACATCCATGTCCAGTAAAAGAATGGGCCCAAGTTGCCCCTTTCCAAGGGGTTTATAGGAGCATAGGCCTTGACATTGTGATGATGATAAAGGAAAGATCAAACCACATAGGAAATATTTACACCAAACCTCTACTTAAAGAAGGTAAATAGAAGAAGAGAGGTATGTACTATCAACCAACAAAACTTTATTCCTGACATATCTTACTCATTCCCTCTTATACAAAACCTGACTTAACTGCCAAAGTGCTAATTCTAGCACTCCCGATTAAAGTATTTCTTGTTTCAAGCATCGAAGCGAAGATCAAATAAAAGGTCTGTTTGCGACGAAGGAATATTATAGAACCACCCCTCGCACATTGCAATATTTTTCCTTATAAATAGATTGAGGAGGTTGTTAGATTAAATTCTAGCTAATATTCACCCTTTAAGGAGGTTATTAGATTAGATGCTAGCTAATATTCACCCTTTATTGCTTCAGTAAATGTGTTAAACAGCCAGTTCAAAAAAAAAAAAGTGTTAAATAGTTTGTTAAATTTGTTAGTTTCGAGTAGTATATTAATTGTGGCCAACACGTATTCAATAGTTCTTTTTTGCTTGGCGTGCGGATCCTCTAGAGTAACCCTCTAGAGTGATCTCCTAAAGTGGATGATCGGACGGCTCAGAATACTCCTCACAAAACGACGTCGTTTATCTATCAACTCTCTACGACGTCGTTTAGCTTTGTTCTCATTCCTCCATTTGTATCCTCTTTGTTTATCTATCAACTCTCTCTCTCTCTCTCTCTCTCGCCGGCGACATGAAGTTCCGATCATGGCTATCAACATGCTCCTCCGCCACCTCCTACGATCCCACACCACCACCACCACCACCACCACCACCACCAAAACCTCTATTCTCCGACACAAGTAGCGGCTCAGACATCCCTGGAAGCTCATCATCCACCTCCCATGACACCAGCTACAGCAGCAGCAGTCTCCAAAACAACCTCTCTCTCCAAACCCTCCCTTCTGTTCCTTCCCTCCAAAAACTCTCCCCCGAAACCCTAACCCTAACCCTCTCCCTCACCTCCCACCACCACTACCACCTCCTAGAGTCTTCACCGCACACCAGAACTGTAAGATCCGAGTCTGGAAATTAACAAACAATAATAAGAATCACAGACTCGTCGCCACTCTCCCCACCGTCAACGATCGCTTACTCCGATTCGCTTTTCCGGCGAACTACGTGAAGGTTCGCCGTCACAGGAAGCGGCTCTGGATCGAACACCACGATGCGGTTTCTGGACTTGAAGTTATCGACGGTTTGAATTTGATGTGTTCGGTTTCGTGGGACAAGTGTTTGAAGATTTGGAGAGTCTCCGATCTTCGATGTGTACAATCCATTAAAGCTCACGACGACGCCATTAACGCCGTCGCGGTGGCGATCGACGCCACGATTTACACCGCCTCCGCCGACCGCCGGATTAAAGTTTGGGAACGAGCGTCTGGAGAGAGAAAGTACGGATTGATAGCGAGTTTAGAGAAGCATAAATCGGCGGTGAATGCTCTGGCATTGAACGGTGACGGAATATGGGGGAAGTTTGAAATCCTAAATCTGTTTTTTTTTTTTTTTTGTTGAAATTCCTCACCAAAACGACGATTCCTCACCAAAACGACCGTTTTGGTGAGGAGTATTCTGAGCCGTCCGATCATCCACTTTAGGAGATCACTCTAGAGGGTTACTCTAGAGGATCCGCACTCTTTTGCTTGTACCAATTTGTTTTCCCGACTTTCTGTCTCGTGCGTCTCCACTCACCACGTGGCCTAATATTCAAACAAAACTTAACTCTGTTAACTTGACAAAAACTTTTTTATATATTTTATAATTAAAATAAAATAAAAATCTAACGAACCCTAGTGGGCCTATTCTTTTACCTACCCTCTCTGCTGCATCTTTTAGATTTCCAAGAACAATACTCCACATATTCGACAATATATATATATATATATATATATAGAGAGAGAGAGAGAGAGAGAACGTTGCCCATTCAGCACCACATTCGCAAGTTGTAGAGGTGAACTCGTGTTGAGAGGCACTGTATTGGGTTTGTGACACAAGCTGCAAATGATTCCGCAAGCATGGATTTCTTTATCCTTCTTCCTCAAGTTCTGCCCAATTCCTCAACTTCTTTGTCAAGTTCCGCAAACATGGAATTCAAAGTATCATGTTTTGAGCCATAGTACATGTTTGATACAATTAGTTTCTTGAAATTTTTTATGTGAGCTGTTTTGTTTGCAATTTTAGATTTTCATATATTCCAATCCCTATTTAGTCATGGTCTCAAAAAATAGGCAATTGATTTCCCATATTGTGTTGTTTGATTTTTTATTGTAACTTTTTTTTTATTTGTTTTGATAATGAAAAACCCCAACCTCACCTTTTATGATCGAAAGACCCAACCAGTATTATTTGTAATCTATTTCGTTAATTGGAATGAGTATGAATTGTAATGGGTGATCATACTTTTAGTCTAAGCATCTCTAATCCTTCACATTTTCTATTAGTAAATTTAAATTTAAATTAAAGATGTTCAAAAAATTATCTCAATTTCTTTCAGAAAATGTTCATCAAATTGAAGAAGAGTAATTTTTTTTTTTTTTATCAAATTGACAACTTATCGAATTTAAATTTCGTCGCAGACATGTGCTATTGCTAAACTCTTATGATCAGCTCTGCGTAGTAGTATGAACACGAACATGAGTTATGCAACTGGATATTTTCATTTTTTTTTTCTCCTTTGTCCTTCTTGTAACATCTTTTGTTTGTTTCGTGTAATCTTTTTTGTTGGATGGGCTTTGCAAGTGCCATTTGGCTTTCTTTAAATGATTTTTTATTGATAAAAAAATTGAATTTTATGAAAATTTAAAAAGATGAAACATTAGAATTTTTTTTTTTTGGGGGGGGGGTCAAAATTTGAAGAAAAGAGAAATTTTAGATAAGATGGAATTAAAAAGATTTTGATGAAAATTTGATAAAAAATTGAATTACTTATATCAAATTAAGTTTTTATGAATTTAAAATCAAAATAGATAAAAAAAAAAATTATGAAACGTTGGAGATGGCCTTATGAAATTCTCATTCCCTTAACCTAGTTACAATGTGTTTTCCATATTCTTCTTAGTAAATCAAAGGTAGAAATTTTATTCCAATGCAACAAACATAATAAAATATTTTTGTTTGACTATATGTCTAGGTGGTTGCATTTTGTCAGAATACATCCTCAAGTAATCATATGGGTTGGCTTGTCACATTTTTAATCAGAATCATAATTTGTTCAGGAAAATCAAATCTTAGCTCAAATTGGGTTCAACAAAGGAGCCTTTGCAACATGATTTGTGCGAGTGATCAAGAATCACAAATAAGATAATAGCTTTCAAT